TATTTAACACCTTAGGAGACCAAATAAACATATTTCTGCTGATGTTCTGAAATATAACATCAACTTTAATAGCTTTTGACTGGGACGGGATTTTCGTATGAGTATTATCAGCATAGCTAAAAGGAAATCTTATCACTCCCAAATAGCATTAAGGCACACGTCAGAGGGTTCACACCACACAGGGTGAGCCCAAGTACAAGATATACGAGGGTACAAGATACAAGACCTCAACTCCCCCCAGCTTTCTCCAAGAAAAGGGCTTATTTTCTGCAAAAGGACAGCTCAGCGTCAGCTAATTTAGTTTTCTTCCCTGTTATTTTCTTTTTTTTTTCCTCACAGCACCAGCGAGGATGAAGAAGGAATTATTTTAAAGGCCAATGAATCCAACGTATTTCACCTCCAGTTCTAAAATCCCAAAGACAAGGAGAGGAGAGACCTCGCTGGGGGCGAGAGATCTCTGCGTAAGCCACTTATGGCACAGAGTTTATGCAATTCAGCTCTAAAACGCCCAGGGCTGGGATCTGTCCTGCAGATGTTACTGATGCCTCTGGAATGACACAAAACCCCCACCGGGCTGCAAGGCCAAGTACCTTCGTCAGCAAATGATGGACATGGAATAGAAGCAGATGCAGCAAACACTCCACACCGAGATCCCGTTCGATGGAGTTGATGTAAATCAAACTGAATGAAATGTTTTGGAACAGATGAGAGAAAAAGCTGGATGCTGTTACACGGGGGTGTGACATCAGCGTGTCAGCCCCAGTTTGAGGCACCATAATGGGGACAGGGGTAAGTGGGAAAGGGAGCAGCTCAGCAGTGCTGGTGTTCATGCCTCTCCCTCGGCCTTTTGCTGCGAGGACAACTGGATTAAATTATAGCAGAATGAGCATTTGGGATTACGGAGAAACAGAGGCATCAACAGTTTTCATTTCTCCACCACAATTATTTATAATGATATGGGGAAAAGAAGAGTAAAATGGATTCAGCAAACTAGGAATGAGAGACAAACCACAAGATCCAGCACCAACCATACTTTCCATTGCAAGGCACTTCAGCCTGTTGTACCACCTCCAGAAGCAATGTTTGCAATCCTGGGATGTCTAGCATCACTCATTTGATTCAATTCAGGTGATTCTTAATTACATGACAACAAGAGAGTTATCAGGGCTCTCATGTTTAGATTATAGCAGCCTTTTTCCCTTCCCACACAAATAGGTTCACTCTGTTTCGCCAAAGCAAAATGAACAAAACGTGACACTGCTGTAACATCCCAGGAACAAAATCCAACAGAAAATCACCCTTGCATGGAAAGCTGTTCCACAGTCAACCAAAGCAAACTGCAAATGTCAGCTTGTTCACTGGTAATCCTGCTGAAAAGTAACCCAAAGAGCTGTATTAGCATTCACTAAATTGCTCTGACAGTGGCTTTGCTAAAGAATCACTGGACAAAATGGGCAAACGTGAAATACTCCAAATTAAAGAAAATGAAGATAAACCAGACTGGTTTAAACCTCCAAAATAAGGCAGCCAGGGCTGTTCTCCATCCTCGTGAGGCCATCAAGCAGTCTGTAGAAGCACTCCTAGAAATGTAGCATTTTTCACTCTTCACAAGCTTCTTTCTACTGCAGACATCCCTACTGCTGATGTGATGCTGGCAACGAGAGCACTTTTTGAAACAGCAATTCCATATCCCCAGCTTTTGTTATTCACTCTGAAATTAAATAATTCAGCTTTTAATATACTGTGGAGTGAGGAGTCCTCCTAACTGTCAGACCTAATACGTGCTACAAAAGGTTTTAGCCAAAATACAGATTCAAAAAAACCCAAAAAAGGCAAGTTTGAACTCCGAGTGCCAGCAGATGGATGAGTTACCCTCTTGAGACAGGGACTAAATTATGGACAGTCAGAGGGAGGTCAGTGAGACAATCATGTCTCTGCACTCAGCTGCCACTGTTAGGTAACACCTCTGGCTCTGCCACTCCACAAACTCTGCCCTTACATCAAGCTGTGCCTCCTTCCCGCTGAGCTGGACTGTGCCTCCATTAAAATTACCCTTCCTCTCCTCCCAGGGCTTCCTCTGTAATTTTCTGCTCAAAGTCAAAGGAAATAACAAAGCCAGGGCTGCTCTCCAGCCTCCCCCAGTTATTGCTGCCCCCTCCACAGCAGCTCAGTCCCCAGCCTCCCCTCTTCCCAGCAAAGCCACGTTGCCAGGGATCTTCCCAGCTGACTTCTCCTCCCAGCTTGAAGGATTTCCCCTGAGTGGAGGCATCTGCAGGCAGGAACATTTGGGTCTTCATTACTTTCCTCTGACATCCTCCCAGGGACTTTTAGGTTTACACAAAGAATAGCCGCTACCAGGGCCAGCATAAAACACTGTAAGCAAACTCAAAAACGGCACAAGAAAAGGTTAATTCTCTCATTTCCAGTCCTGAGGCAATATTCTCTCTCTCTCGTGTTCTACCAGGCTTTTTAAACTCTGTGAGTTCCAGGGAAATGGGTGGAAGATGTGGAAATCCTATTGCAAAAGCACCTGCCCGCTCCTTTCCCCAGAGAGCCACACAGAACATTCTATTATTTAGTTAATTGCAAAGAAACAATTACAAAGGAACTTGGCAAACTCTCTCTAATCACAGCAAGACCTATTTGCAGTCCAGTAAGTTCAGCAAATTAGCAAATAAGTGAATACAAAAAGGAAAGAGTCACACAGCTCAAATTCCACTTTTTTGGTTTGTTTTGTCACTCATAGTTTCTGTTTAATTATTTAAGGTATTTCTTCATAACATTCTGGTACATTTTGTATAATAATGAAGGTTTACTAGCATGGAAATGCAATATGTGGCTATTAAATATCTGCCTAGAGAGAGAAGAAAACTGCCAGTTCTGTGAGTAAATTATAGAGAGCCTGCTCAGGAAAAATTTCCAGGTTAGATAAATAGAAGGTTCTGCCACAATTTGTGTAAGATCCAAATAAGGATTATTGCTAGATAATGGCAATGCTAAGCAATGTTTGTGCACAATGTTGTACTACAGGCATTCATGGACAATCCCATTTATTAAGAGCTATTCTAATTTTCCACGCATATACCTAGAGGCCATTCAAACACAGCCTTTTTAAAACCAGCACTGTAACCAAGTGACAGATTTTACAGTATTTCATCCCTGAAGTCATATTGCAGCAAGAACCTTCAAGCTCTGTTACATTAGTGAAGCAGAGATGACGGGCTGAGGAAGGGAGAGGAGTGAGATCCAGGTGTGGGATTATCTGGCTGTTAGAGAGGGGAGTAAGACAGCCCTTGACAATGGACATGATGTCCCTCCTGGTTCTTCCCAGACCATTTTGAGCATCAAGATTTTATGACACATCTGTTCACACTACCAACAATAGAAGCCCTAAAGGGGCTTCTGTGGTAGCTGGCACAATGTGTCTGTGAGGCGTATTGGCAAAATCCTCCCAAACAGAAGGGGAGCTGTTACAGTCCAAGCAACACCTTGGCAGAGGAAGGTTGTTTATACACAGCTCTAGTGAGGGGAACAACACAAACGCTGTCCTGGAGACCAGTGGGAATCCACACACTGATTTGAAAAAGGTGATTGGGAAATTGGGAAAGACAGGCAGTGAGAGGGGCAAGGGGAGCAACTTAACCAGTGGACTACAACAGAGTGTAAATAGGAAGAACATAGCAACACTCACCATTCAAGGCTATTCCTTTGTGCACAGCAAGGACAGAACAAGTGCTAAAAGCCACATATAACCAAGAGCCATGTGCCTTACACACACCTGTAAACAGGGCAAACATCTGTAGGGTGATGTCAGTGCTGTCTCTACCAGCAGAGAAGCACTTCAGCAAACATTAGAAGGAAACATCAGAGGAACTGATGCAGCACCTGACCACCAACCACACCCGAAAACCCTCCCACCAATAACCCCGAGTTTAACATGGAAATGTTGCTCTTTGCAGGTCTCAGTGGTGCCCATCAAATGAAACCTTTTTTCCCTCTTTAAAAGTTCATATGGGAAAGCAATTCATCAGCTGACAAACCTTCCATAAACAGATGCTGCAGAGCTTGCAAGAGTCAAGGGCATTCTGACTTCAGATGAAGACAAATTATGATTTAATACAACTACAAACATTTAATTGCTTTCAACTGAATTCAAGGCTAGTCTGCTCCAGGAAACCGTATCAAAACTTTTCCATTCATGCCTCATGGATTACCTCCAGTGTTTAGGATTTAAAACCAAAATTGGTCCTAAGAAATCCAGAGAATATGTCAGTAGAGCAGAGAAGGAAGAATAAAAAAGTGAAATTAGTTAATATATTCATCAAACACAGATTATTTCATCTTGTACTCTTATAGCTGTTTTAGTCCTGCAACAAGGACTCTGCTTGACAGGAAGGTGACTGCAGGATTCCCACGTCTTGGCAGCAGTTAATGTGGTCTTCTATGTCCAAAGAGCAGCATAAGGCTTGTTTTTCCTGGGAGTCCCTAAAGGCTTTCTCAGTGGACCTGGAAGGGAATGCATGTGTCCTAGTTCCTTCCAGAGCTTCATAAACAGCAACAGGAACTGAGGTGAGGGGATACACTGTCAGCAAACTGGAGAGTTGAAACCTGTAGACTCCTGCTCTCCCACAGCTGCTGGCAGACCAGTTTGTCCCAGTCCTGTGCCTCTCTACAGCACAACAGAACCTCTGTGCCCCTGGTGAGTTCCAACACTGATTATCCCTATAAAACACTAGAAGGCAAGACTGAAAGCAGAAGTCCATCAGCTTTTCCAGTTCCACCAGGCTTTGGTCAGGAACCCTGTTCACTCCTGATGGGACAACCTTAAACCTGTACTGAAGCAGAAATTCCACACCCCGCATGTTTCTGAGTTACCTTGTTACTGTAAGCTCAGGAAAACAGTCAGCGATAAAAGGTCAACCCAGGTGCAAAGTGAAAGCAGGAACACCCGGCAGAGGCCAGGGGGGCAATGCAAACACAGTAACGGCAGCACAAACACATCACCTGTTCATATACAAACTTTATTTCAAAATTCAACAATCAGGAGTAAACACATTGCAATTGTGTTAGCTTTTCGAGGATCCCAAAATAAGTTACATAAAATACTTGCACAGTTCTGAATATTAAAAAGATCATAAAAATTAATGGTGCTCTCATACGCCAAGATTACTCCTTTTCCATTTTGACTACATTAAAAGTTGCCTGTGCAGGGATTATTTTTATAGCTATGCAAAAAACCACAGTTTTCATGTCTTGATGCCTCAGTAAAGATTTACAGGCAAAGGCACTTAAGGGCAAAAAGAGATCAAGAGAGATAATGTCCCATTAAAGTCCAATCTCTGTACTCACACACAATCTCTAACTAAACACTGCAAAAGGTTTTAAGTTGGAAACATTATTCCATATCAACAGCATGGAAAGTGTGCTTTTAGATTACATAGGTTACAGTGGAATTTAATTTTAATTCAAGACCTTGATGCCCCCACAAGGTTTCCAGGGCTTTCTACAGAAAACTTATTTTTCAGAAACAACATGTTTGTATTGGGTTTATTTTGAGAGGTTTGAGCCACACTGACTTTCACTGTCCTCGGCTCCCTGTTGAGGAAAAATGCCATTTATTCAAATAATTTTTTCTTCCATCCTTGTTCCACACTTCTTCCCACAGGTGCTGGCGTTCAGATAACCACAGAACAAAACCTTGTGTCCACCGCTGTTCCCTTCAACACACTCCATTCCAGTGTACAACACAACCATGTTAAAGGCTACTGATACTGTGGAGGTTTCTCTTCCTACTGTACCACACCAAACTCGTTGTGCAGTGAGCAAGTTCTCCTCCAAACCAAAATATCAGTTTGAAACCCATCTCAAGTAAAGTATCTGATTTTTGATACCTAGGAGATAGCAGTCTCAAATTTAGAAAGCTCTAGACATATTTTCACTCCTTCCAGAAAATGTTTCATCTTTTTCATCCTGATCCTGTGCCTTTGGGTCATCCCAAGATACCAGCTCCCCTTTATGCCAGAAGTTGTCTGTTGACAGCTCTACTGCTGGTCACAGGCTCAGGTAAAACACAAATCTTCCTGCTCTGTATCAACTTCCTAATGCTTTCATATTGGTCATTACAGCACAGTAAAGTAAAAGAATGTCATCTTTATTATATTTGCTGTCTCAGTATTTCCCTGTAGGATAACAGCTAGGTAGGTATTTGATACCAGTCTGGGTCCTGACACACTACATACCCTTCCCTTAATGTGTCAGTCCTCAGCTCTAGTTACTCTCTGGAGAGATCCATGACAGAGCCCCAGTTACAGACTTGAAATATTATACACAGGCAACTCAGTACAGCTCTGCTTCCATTTAGCAAAATGACCCTTCTTCTTAACATGACTTCCAGAAACAGAGGGAAGCAGGTCTCAGCTTCTACCAAGAGGATTCTATCCCTTTTATTTTATATATATTTTTTTATCCTTTCTGCAGATGACAGTCATGTGACCAAAGTACAGCCAGGAAAAATTTACCCATTGGGAGTGCAAATGACATTCTTCAGGCTGCTTTGGGTATGGAGAGCTCCCAGAACTGCCTTTGGAAATAGTACAGGCAGCATTTCCACCGATGGGATTAAATGAAATCAGCTGCATTGTGCTGCAGCCATCCAGTTTCCTCTTTGGCTGCAAGTACTGGCATAAACTCTGATAAGCTTCAGATAGTCCTTCACTGAAATCACAAAACGGAGACAGCTCTGACTTATTGGTATTCTGCAAAACAGTGGTGACTGATTTTTAATTTAAAAAAGAGAAGGTGATAAAAATCTTATATTTAAGAGTGTGCTTTCTGTTTACAGGAGACTTTATTACTCTTGGATGACAAAGAAACCATTAGAGTTTCCAGCAAACCTTCGCTGTGTGCATGTAAAATGAAATTATCCTTTCAATAAATATCATGATTAAAAAAACCCACATAAGCATTTTAATGATTTTGAAGGGTGTTGGTGTGACAGTAGGAATTCTCCAGTCAAAAAGTACAGTCTGCACAGAAGATCTGGAAAGACCCCTCTGATTATATTCTCCACAGCCCCTTAGGTCTTTGGTCTTTCCGTGGACAATGCTATTGTCAGTGCTGTTTCTGGATGCAGTCTTAATTTTTTAATTCAACCTACCACTTCTGTTCCCAAACCAAACTGCATGGATTAGTTTTTTTTTATTATGCTCATCCTAATCCACAATGCACAGAACTAAGTGGGCAGTGCCCATGTTCTCCAGCACCAGCCTGGCAGCTTTACCTGAGGACAGAAGATGGGTGGATATGTGATCCCTCTCTCAAATTCTGCCTGGACCCACTGTGCAGGTGTGCACAGGCAAAGGTAGTACTGGGAACAGGTATCAACCACAGCAAAGGAACATCAGACTTAAAACCTTAGTGCTCCTCCCCTCAGTGCATGAGCACTGCAGTCAGGTGAACATTTCAGACAGTCCTATCTCCTGTGTCACATGTTTTCACATCTTAGAGATGACTCTGTATAATGAACTCAAATCTGTGATCTGTAAGCAGAAAGCAGTCACAAGGGGATACCTTCACAGAACACTCCTGCCACTACACACCTGCCCTGACAAATGCAAAAATCTGATTATGTGATCAGACATTTCAAATACAAAACATTCTGTACACATCATCACAAGCACATGTGGAAAGAGCAATAAATAAGGAAAGCCAGCTGATACAGTAGGCCTAGAATGGCCCTATGACAGAGGAATGGCTTACAAGGTCTGTAAATGTTCAGTATAAAAATTAACAAAAAAAGATACAAAATATGACAAGTAAAATTTTTAAATAGGAAGGTCCAGGTAACAAATACCAGCTGTACCCTTGAACATACACAGGCTGAAAATTGGAGTCACGTCATTAACCACTTTCTGATTACACAAATTATATTTTAGTTGATCTGAAACAAAACTTTGTTTGACATGAAATAGCTTAAGGCTTTATTGCTTTCACTTGAATTTGTCAGCTGAATTTACAATCTTCATTGTGAAACAAAACATTAAAGTGTTTTGGTTGAGTTTTTAAATCCAAACTCTCTGTGTGCCAGGGCAAGGTTAACAGTCAGTCAGTGGCTTTTAGCCATAAAGTCTGCAGAGATGACATATGAAAGAATGGCTGAAATAATGTCAACTGCCATTAAAAAGGGGTTGCTATTCCTCCTCTCTTCATCTTTGACATGCCTGATCTTGGTACAAATAGTTTTGTTCGTGAATTCAATAATTCAAGATCATCAGAGCCTGTCACCAAAACTTAAAAGTGGTTGTAGCTTTTCTTCATCTGCAACAAAGGAGACACAATAACAACATCATCCGAGTCGTCTGAGTGAGCTTCATCCCCGGGCAAGGCAGGAGCAGGATGGGATGGCCCCTCAAAGGACCTGGCTGAAACGATTCCAGAGGAAACAAGGTCATCAATAAACAACATTGACAAAAACAAGCCCTTCTGAGAAGTGTGATATTCTCCGAGTCACTGAGTTTCCAGACCTACCCACAGGTATGGATAAGCCTGATCTATCTGTTTCTGCACAGAGCTGCTCCTGCTCTCCTTAGTGAGCCAGCCGTGCATGGTCGGTGTTGAGCTGACAGACCGACCACACCTCATTTGTCTTATTGCCTTTAAATCTCTGCAGGTGGTCACACACCACCAAGTAAAGCAATTTGATACTGAAGCCATCACAGGTCATAAAACCAAATATTTATTACACTCCCAGAAAAGGAAAAACTGACCCAAGCTTAAACTATGCAGAAAGGTAACAATGAGAATACAGAAGGAGCAAAGGGAAATGGATACAAAGAGAGATAGAAGCTCTCAGCCACTGTCTTTCATCCTTATACCTGTAAAATACCAAAAATATTATTCACCAGCTGCACTACTGTAATGACAACAAAACAGTGACCACACCACACCATGGGGTTTGTTTTTCTTTATTTTTTTTTCATTTTCCTTCTTTGCCATTTTTCTGGATCTGTGTTTCTATGTGTCTCCTCCATTCCAACGTGTTCAGGGCATGAACAGATAGATCCCTAATGATTCCAATAAACACTGGAAAACCAGAGGGATAAAATGAACCCATACAAAGTCCCTAACACCTGAAGAGCAGAACCAGCAGCTTGACCTCTACAAGAGATCTATGAACTAAATGATGACTGCTATTAATACCTTCCAGCACAATATCCTCCCCTCAGCTATTAATACCTCCTAGCACAATATTCTCCCCTCAGCTCCACTTACTTTTCAGTTTCAAACATAAATTATCTGAATAGACTCTCCCAGAGAAGAAAACTAATCAAGACAACCTGTGGTAGAAGGGGAAGCAGGCAAGAGGCCATACACTGAGATTTTGACCTGAAAGGGAGGGCACACAGAGAATATTACCTGAGGAGAACAGACAAGCCACAGGTCTTGTAGTGAAATAAGAGGTTCCTGACACCGGAAAAAAATCTCCTGGTATGGAAGAACAAGCATAAAAACTGGAATATGAAATAAAGAAAGGGGACCACAACTGGCCCAGAAATAGAAAAAGAGAGACAGACAGAGAGCCTGTGAATGGCAAGGAGGAATGAAGGCAGGCCATTACATTGACCTCAGCCTACAGAAGCAAAGAAACACATGACTTTCTAGTTAAGTGAAATTCTTCTCTGCATCAGTCAACAAATAATGTCAGAATTTTTCAGGAAGGTTTATGAGACAGTAGCTCTGGTGATACAGAGGAACAAAGGGAACTTCCAAAAGCAGGCATGGTAACTAGAAGAAGCAACTCCAACAATAAACATATTATACATGAAATAGCTTAATATTATCCAAACCATTCTTGATTATATCCTGCTCTTGATGTCTGAGATTCTTGTCCTCATCTTCAATTTAATACACTTCAGAGACAACTTTATCTTTGTGCTTGTGAAGGTTAAGCACTGATTAGAGTTAAGGGTTGTATGTAAATTCATTATGATTTCAAGAAAGCCTCAAATGAAGTTAACAGTCGTAGCCAGAGTGGCCAGTAATAAACAGAGAGAAATTCTGCCCTTAATCAAGATTGCTGTGCATGTACAGAACATATTCTTCCTTCCTGACACTCCCCTGACAGAATGAAACAAAACACCACATTTTGCAGACTGAATAGTTAATATCTGTTCCATTTCATGGGAATCAGCAGACATGGCTCTATAAAATCTCCAAGTACTGTCCACATTCTAAAGACAAGCAAAGCAGCACTGAATGCTACACCAGATTTTTTTAATTAATTTTTTTTTTTTTTTTTTTTTTTTTTAGAAAATACAGAGACATCTAACCTGATGCAAACAATGAATCCAAAGTCTGCAATGCTAGACAAGGATTATATACATTCATTCTAGCAGATACATAAGGTTTTTTAAAACACATTTTTATCTTCCCCATTCCTCTCAAAATAGTGCTGGAAGGGTAGTGAAGTGAAATGACTTATTGCAATATATACACTCACTGGAAGCTTAAGATCATTGTAAGACCTAGAGGTCACAAAATGAAAGTTTGGACTTGGGACAAATGAAGTAAGAGCCTGTCCAGCTGCATGATTAAAAGCTAAAAGAATCTGATTGCTTTAAATCACTCAGCTGCTTAACAAGCTCTTTGTCTCAAGTAGTTTCCAAGCTGCAGGATGACCATGGAAATCCCAATTCACCATGAAAACCCAGTTATGAGCTCAGAATGGCAGAGGTGGACTTTTGGTTAACTTTAGTTTAAGCTACATAAATTGACATGGCAAACAACCAAACAGATCACCAAGGGGTCACATTTCTTCAGAAAGGTGGCATTTACATCAGAATGCTCTCCTTCCTAATTTGTCTTTGGGAGAGTTTGGTTAAACACTCCAATACACCAGGACCAAATAATTCAGAGAGCTTAGTGCCAGGCAGTCTTTGGGCAGTTGTGCAGCTACAGAAGCACATACCCAGTATGCCTCTCCACAAGCCACCTGGATACATTCTATCCTCATCCCAGATTTTGAAAAGGTCTCCCATATTCCTAAAACCAGCAGCAAATTTACCCTGCTTTGCTCCCAATCTCTCCTTTTTGATATTCCCTAGTAAAGGACCACAAGAAAGAAAGTCTGAAAGTTCATGATTTCCTCTCTATCTCTTTTAGTATAAACAATTCCAAAACTTCTTCACTCATCAATTTGTCATCATAATCTGCAATAAAACTTAGCTTTGGAGCCTTCATAGCCAGACAGTGACTGTGCTCTGTTGGGATTCACATGACCACGTTTCCCAGACAAGCTTCATCTTACACCCTTCTTTGGGTCTTAGAAGCACTAAACATAATTAAGTGATTCTTCCTCTTTGGGTAGAATTTCACAACTGATTTACTCTAGGTTTACACAGAGCATGCCAATAATGACTACTGCAGTAGAGTTCAGGTAAAACAGGGTGCTGCAGCATTTTTTTTTTCCTGGATACTGTCACTAGACATAATTAAGATCACTCAAAACTCAAACATCTTCAGAAGCAAGCACTACCTACTCCTTCACAAAGTGGAATGTGCCTCTGAAAATGGAACACAGTAAAGTTTCTTAAACACATTTTCTTTCACTGAAGTGTGACCTCTGTTTTCACAATCCCTGCAAATCTGGCTTATTCCCCATCTCCTATCTTAGAGAAACAGCCTCAGCTGCTTAAAGCATTCTCTGTTTCTGAGCAAGTCTGCAGGGACTGTCAGCTTTTCATCGACAAAAAAGAAGTCAGTGTTTCTCGGGTCACACTCAAAGTTGCTCTTTTTTTCCCCCCAACTGGTCCATTAAAGCCTCAAATATCCCACTCTGGACAGAACCAACCTTTTTCAATTTGTTTTTAACTCCTTTGAAGCTGCATGTCTGAAGCTGCCTTATCTGCAGCATTGTTTTGCCTTTCCCACTCAGGACTTCTAACATCCTCCTAAAAGCCTCTTTGGCTTTAACTCCATCTTCTCACAAACAGCTATAAAGAATTCAAGAAGAAAACCAAATGGCATAAGAGCCATAAAAAAGACAGATTTTCTCAGTTTGTATTACAGTAGTACTAGTTGGCAAGGTTATTCAGGACTTCATTTTTCCCCCCTCGCTGCAGCAACTGAAGACTGCTGAAAAAAAACGTGACTGAACACACATGGCTGCCTAGGATAGTTCTTTTTACCAGTTGTCTGTCTGTCTTCTGCAGAAACTAAGTCAGGGTGGTGAAAACATTCTCAGCTTGTCTATGGCTAAGGGCCCAAAAATGCAGTGGAAAGTACCATCCTACAGCTACAGGGATGGGAGGGCTGAAAAGGAACTAGAGAGGCAATAGACGGGAACACCATGTTCCTCAAATAATTACCACTTGCACCAGAGAGACTTTCCAAACCACAGTTGTGACAAAAACACAAAGCACTGTGAGGAAGCTGGTAGTGGTACTCTCAGATCTTTTATTTTTTTATGTAAGGAACTGCACGTGCCAGGATAAGCAACATGTCATTAAATTAAGCCCCACACACAGAGTACAACTGTGCACTTGCACATGTGTGTGCACGTGCAGATGTTCTCCATAAAACTGTGTGTGCACCCACTCAAAACACACATACTTTTGAACACAGGGAAATGAGATTACCAGGAAGAGGCGACATTAGGACTGAAGGAGGTCTCTGGAGTGCTGCTGAGACTGGTTTCTTCTCTGTACTGTAAAGTGCAGAATCTGCTTTCTCACTTGGTGCACTGGACATGGAAGACCTGTAAAGAGACAGACTCCAGAGTAAGCAAACCACTGCACTCTGCCTAAGTCATTGATGGTATTCTAGTTTTCCCCTATTCTTCCTCCACAGCCCTTAACTCGTACATGTCAGGGCTTCAGATTCATATATTAAGCAAGTGTACTAGCAATCTGTTTGATAGCAACAACAACCTGTTTTTTTCCAAAGAGTAATTATTTTACTTTACTTCTACTCATTGCTATGGAAGAGAAAATGCAGCAGGATATGGAAAGACTCCTGCTGCTGCTACAAAATTCCTTTTAGTTGCACGTCCTTCGACTTTTCTCAGGAGCAAGCTCTCCCATGTCTTTGTTGTAACAATGGCTTTGTTCTCTTTCTCTGCCAAGGAACCCACACTACAATTCTATTAAACAAATACTCCTCTCTTCTAATAAAACCAATTTTGCTACTGCATGTTACAGAAATATCTACTCCTCACTTACCTCTCCTCAAGCAGAACTGCACGTGCTGAGTGAGCCCTGAAAATGGACTGAATGAACGTCACAGTCTCATCTCTCTCCTCGCAATCAGAGGACAAGCCCAAGGAGTCTGACATGGAAGACACGCAGGAGTTCTGCAAAGCAATCAGATTAAAGAAAACTGACCTTTTACAGATGCACAGAAGCTTGACAGAACCTTTCACAATCTTACTCCCGATTGTGAAAGCGGTAGCAGAACAAACATTCCCATCTTTTGGTCTGCAGTCTTTAAGGTTCTGTAGGACTAAATCAGCAGGAAATGCAAATCTGATCATCATGCAAGCTTTGAAGAACCAGCATTCAATTAATGAAAAAGCAGACACCTGCAAGGAAAGTTCATTTATTTTCCAGGAAGGAAACCTTTTGAAGATGAAGGAGGTGAGGCAACCTTCATAATGGATCTATCTTCTGTGCTATCAAGCAAAGTATTCAGTCCTACTACATGGGGCCAGTTTGCCAAAATAAAAGAGCATGTAAAGTGCAACTGGTGGACAACCTGGATGGAGAATTACAAATTAACTTTGGCCTGATAAAGGTCCAAAGGATGTTTATATAAATTGGCAAATCATTTACAGAAACTGCATGTTTAATTGGTAAGGAAATTTTTTCATATGCAGAACTAAATGATCTGAAGCAAGCTGAACATGACAGAGGACACCAAGTCTTTGGTTGAGCATGGCACATCAAGACTCCTTTATTTTTCAGTCTAATCAAAGATGCTTTCCAGCTTCTTATTTCTGAACTTCAGTGACAGAAGTTTATCTATTACTACAATGATCAAGTAGTGAACACTTGAAAACAAGTGAAGTTTTCAATAGCACCCTGAATTAAGGAGTTAAGGAGCACATTATTAGATGATGGGAGAACCAGAAAAAAAAGAGACCCAGTTACAGTCCACAACACTGAGAATTTATAGCTTTACTTCTGAGAAAAAGTGAGAACTACAGAAGGTGGAAAGGGAGCCCAGGGAATGAGCTCAGTATCTTCCTGGAATTACAGTGGAGTTGCCAACCAGCACATTAAAACAACATCACCAGGTGATTCAGAGAATCAAGCCTGGAAGTGGAGCCCTTTACACTGCAAATTAAACATAATGGGATGTTGGGATACCCATTTGCCCCACAATTACCTTGTTGAGAGATTTTGCTTCGTGGATCTCATTATTCAGTAACAGTTTCTGTCGAGCTAAATGTCCTCTGAGAGCTGCCTGCAGCACCACAACTGCCTAGCAGGGAGAGAAGGAAGTAGATATTAGCTCCTTGGAAAGATAACCCACAGACATACACCTCTGGGGTCACCACCAGGGTTTAAATTCCATCTGGGAGGTGCTCATGATTGATCCTATCAAATGCAGGGAAGTTCCAAGTGCCAGCACCAACAGACACAGCAACATGCTCCCATTTCCATATTAGACTCTGGCTACCCAGTGGGCTCTGGGATGCTCTGGCACAATCAGAAAACCAAGCCAAGCCTGGCAGACCATTGTGGTGATAACACTGAATGTAAGTCTTTCCCCTCCACTCAGAGAGTTTACTGGGTTGTTCTCTACAAGAAGCATTTAGATGTAAAGACTAATTTCTGAAAGTGGGATTTTTAATGTTCTGGAAGAAACAAACACAAGATGCCACACTGGGCTATCGGAAAAAACCAGTTTAATCAAAACCTTTCTGCAAAACATTTATGAAGAAGTGATTTTGTTTGACAAACTTGCCAATTTCTTCATAATACTCCGAGACATTTCTCCTTAGCAAAAACTTCAAATCCTACTTCAAATTCATCACAGTAAGAATTAAAGCATTATTAGAATTATCTAGTTTGGAAAAAAATTTCCTGTCTGTTGGTATCAAAATTTTCAGAAGTACATTCATCTTGCAGAAGGTACTAAGTAAGGAAAATCTGAGACCAAAAGGGAATCACTGACAAGATGTATGAAACAAAAACAGGATGTCAGGAGGAAGATTATAAGCCAGACTGAAGAACAAACATCACTGTGGTAAAACATCTTTGAAGTTATTTGTTTGCTCTTTGATACAAATTACATCTGTTGTACTGTTTTGTTGGGTGTAAACAGACTCACCTCATCCAGAGCAATTTCTTCTTTCTGAAATGAAAGATGCTCATGTTAATGCCACAAATATATATGAGCTTTATCTAACAAAGACTTTCCAAATATTCCCCAACAATTAAAACACACAGAAAATACTTGTTCCAACCCCAAAAAAACCTCAAACAACAAACCTAAGGAAAAAAAACTTTTTCATCTTTTAAGACATGAGGACAGATGGTAAAGAGTAAAATTCAGAGGGGCATGTCCTCGCTGTTCCCTGTTAGGACAATCTCACCTTGGTTTTGTACATCTTCCAGTGTCTCTGGATGATTTTGGCTGCTTGTTCTTCCCTGTGATCTTCTTTGCCTTTAACTGTGCAGACTGGTGAAGACTGCAAAGGAGAATCTTTAAGTTAGTACAGTCAAGACACAAAGCCGTGAGGGAGACAGGTTACTAATGACTCAGGAAAATCAGCACCAGAGTTCATCCTGCCTGCAGGGCAGAAGGAAGTTCAAGAGGAAACTCTTAGTTCTGAACCCTGGTCATGTTCAAACTCATCATCCAGATGACTGTTACAGTGAAACACATTCCTGCCCCCTTTTTAGCCCTTAGCAGAGCATGGGAATGGAAAAGTTCTCATCTCCACATACTCCTATTTTTCTATGCTTTGCTAAGGCACTGCTAACCCACTGCTTTGTTGATCAGAAGTGGTTTGTATGTTATGAACAGACTGAGAAGAAATGTCAGGTTACCTAATTTTGCAGTTCTCCAGGAAAGACAAGTATTAATTAACCAGGGAATTCTCTAATGTCTCATCCTGGCAACTGTAGCCCCATAATTATCTGCTTAAACTTACTGATTAGTTGGCCTTGTCTGACACTGAGCAAACAGAGAGCTTTGTGTAAGTTGGCATAACTCTACTCTTCTATCTTGAAGAAATTAATTAGAGGACAAAGAAAGAAACCAAGAACAAAACAAGATTTTGTTCCAGTTATTTCTTCTGAGGTGTGGTTGCATATTCCACCTCTCACCATTTGATCCTTTTGATCCCTAATTATCCCACACTAATTGTCAGACCTCACTTGCCAAACGAAAGTTAGCTGCAAGTTTAAAAGACTAATTTAATTTATTGGTGTAAAATTTTAAATAGAAGAACAAGAGATTTTATAGACTCTAAAAAAACCTCTTGATTCCACGAAAAGGATTTATTTATAACCTAAAAATGCCGAGTTACAGGCTTAAGTTTAGCAAATGGATCATGTCATATTAAAAATGACAACCTACTATTAAAATGAGAAATTGGTAGGAACTTAGTGATAATTACAAATAATGGGAACATTTCAATAAATGGATGGTTACTGGCCAAGAATATATATAGTCTGCAGAGGAAAAAAGGAGCTGTTTGTTGGCTGTTTTTAAAGGCTTGAGTTATTTGGTATTCAAAACATCCTCTAGCATCCATCAGCCTATAACACACAAAAAAAGAATCTAAAGAATTGCACAGTATATCAAAACCCAGAAACCTCTTAAGCAAGTGGACATTTTTATTCATATTTTTTACTACATGTATTTCAGGGTCTATTTATTTTTAAGTGCAATCAAAATCCCCAGGAATAATTTCCCAGTAGAATTTAGTGAAATGAGCTTAACATGACTACACAAAAAAACCCCAAACCACATAAAACCTGTGTGTCTGTACCTTATGAAGATTTTCCACTGTATCTTCTGCCATTTGTCTTTTCTCTTCCTCCAATTTTGACTCCAGTTTCTCTACTTTCTGTGTCAGGTTCTGGATTTCCTCACTATGGTTGGAAAAGGAAAGATATTTATAGCTAGAAGTTTTCTGATGTTCCTGCTTTGAAAAACTGAACCTATTTCATAACACTTGGTTGCTTTGGGCTTTTTTTTTTAAGGCCAAAATTGGAAACTTCTCAGGATAACAATATCTATTCTCATAGTGACAGACATGTAACATCAATTCTCAAGTTGTGACAGCACAGCCTTATGCTAAAATTAAGAAGTCCCAAGGTTACAGTGGTACCCTTAATACTATTAATAATACATCTAAATCTGCTACAGTTTCATATTTGTCAGTCAAACTCCTTTCTTACAAAACAATTATGAAGTCACCTTTTTTTGACACCCTCATACAGGATTATTACTCACATTTATACAGAATACAGGGAGCAACTGCAGTGACACATTGGCAATAGTCTAGGAGCACAGGCTAAGGTAAAGATACCACAATTTTTCCTCAGAGAAAACATCTCTGAGCCCAACATGGCAGCTATTTCCACTTATCTTATTAATTTTTACTATAATTTAATTCTTATTTTTACTCTACTCCTTAGTCTTCCACTTCCTCTAAAATCACTCTACAGAATTCTTCCACTAGTAACTTACTCCTTTCCAAAACAGTTCTGCTTAAAAGAATTCCCAGCTTCTTGCAGTTCAGATGAACTCCTATGGATTTTGAGCCACTTCAAAAGAGAATTATACTTCAACAGTCTTTTGGTTCTGAAAGGATCTACTACTACAAGGTGTGATACCTTAAAGTCTGTTTTTCTGTACTCTTTTCTTCCATCTTACTCTGCCACTTCTGCAGCTCCAGCTCCACTTCAGCCTTAGCCTGCAGCAACTGCTTGATATCTGATCTTCGAAGGAATAAGGAAATCTAAGTGATACTTAAGGCATTCATGCTTCCACAAAGTAGTTATTTTTGTTTAAACTTCTAAATAAAATGAGTTTCCTCGAATTTGTAAAGTAACTAAATGCTCAATTTTTCCTTCTAAACAAAACAAAACACGAGCACACATTGTTCAGAAGGAAAAGGCCTCCTCACACGCTCTCACTGTGCATCTTCATTCAGAAGTGACACAGGACAAATGATGTTGAAAGAAACCCACAAACTTTTACAGCACAATACTTGCAAGAAGTGCTGCATAAAGAGACACAGAATCCGTCAAAGAGTTTTCAGTGTGGCTGGCAGAAAAATAAGCCTTGAAAAATATGTGAGAAACAAGCAGAAATTCTCATTTTCCATTCTCTGACCTTTTTTTCTGCAATGTAATTTTACAAAGAAAGTAGGATTAGAAGAAGCATTTGAAATAAAAGCTGAAGGGGCCCTCAAAATTAATTTTTTTGCTGAAAAATGTGAAGTACTTATTACATTATTTCATAACGTGATCAGAAATAATAATTCACACCTACAAAAGAACAACATCCCAGACAAGAGTCACACTTACTCTTTACTGAGTAGGAGATTTTGAAGTGCCTTCCTGTCACTCTTCAGTTTCTTCACTTCCCTTTGGAGATGATGACATTCCTCAACATGGTCTATGTATTGGGGGGCTGGATGATCCAGGTCTACAGAAGGTGAAGATGACACAGCAGGCAACTGTGATGAGTCACTATCTGCTGGTGACACCCTGGTGCTCTCCATGGCACATACTTTCTAAGCAGGATAAATTTACATGGAAAACACAAAAGAGAAAAAAAAAAGGGGGGGGGGGAAATTCAAATTTACTGTAAAAAAATGTTAGTTAGGCCATGAGAAAAGATTAAATGAAAGCTAATTCTAAAACGTGCATCTATATGTGACAAATATGATCAAAGAAAACAGGGAGGAAGGGCACATGCTACAGACATCATGTGAGGCAGAATGCACACAGCTGATACACTGAGGGGTAACATGCCAAGGAAACAAGCCAGTGGTTCTACATTTTCTGCTCCAAGACAGGTAAGGCCCCATAACCATGACCACTTACTTTTTCCAGTTCTGAAATCCGCCTCACCAGCCTCTGTCTGCTCCACTCACTATAATCTAAACACAATAACAAAGCTTTAAACATGTAGCTACATCAGTGGGTCAACATTGCTCTCGCTTTTTGAAACTTCTGTCCATACAGAAAGACCATCTGAAGACCTTTGAATGCCAACTTTAAATATGTACCAATGGAAAAAGGAGAATGGGCTTAAAATATGCAACTTCTAAATCAATTAGCTCAGAAATCAATATAAACCATTCACATACATGTGCTTTCAACAACTGAAAAACAGTTTTTCAGTGCAAGGATAAATCCTCTAGTGATTCCAGTTCAGAATTCTCAGGGATAATAATAGAGGAAATGCAGGTCTGACTGGAGCAACACATCCAGAAGTCAGAGAGTGACTCCTGTGAGAAAGTTCTCATTCCAACTATTGCCACTCCCAAATCTTCACCTTTGTAATAACTCCCTTATTTCTACCATTGCAAGGTCCTGCTCCCAAACATCTTTCAGCTGTTACCTAAATCCCTTATCCCACATCCACCAACTTTTCAGCACATACTTTTTGTTTTACTGGGAGGAGGAGAACTGCTCAGTACATGATCCAGATCTTCCTTCAGCCTCCGATTCTCAGTCTGCAACTCCTTGATGTTCCTGGACAATCTCAGGACAGCAGCATTCAGTGACTTTAGTCTCTTCTGGGTATCTCTGCTCTCTGTACTTGGAAAAGGGGTCAAAACCAGAGAGTTAACTTTAAAGCACAGGACAAAGAACCAGCATTAAAAAGAGTGGAGCAGCCTCACTATTCAAGTCAGCTGGCTAAGTTAATTGTCTCAGCTCCCCCCCCCCTGTAGCATTTCTCAACATCTTTTACTTGGGAAGTTATCTATTCTTTTAGCAAAAAAAACCCATGCAAAGACCATTTTGCTCAACACTTTGATAATTGTTTTAATTTGCGTCAAAGGAAGAAGATACTTTAAAACTTTGAAAATTCATTTATTACTTTCACTTCCTCCCCCACTCTGTTTCATTAACACATAAACAAGGGTGTTTGTATGAGTGTTGCTTATTTTGCTTTCTGCTTGTTTTGTTAACTAACTTTATAAAGCTTTAGCAGAACCCTGAACCTGATTTAAAAAACACTTATCTTCAGTCAACTGTGAGACTCCTCTAAAAAACTGTTCAGCACAGAGACCTGTGTGCTCTAAACTGCTGTTGTTCACCTAACAAACAACCTGAGACTGGGAGAGAGAGAGGGCTGGACACACATAGAATAACTCTCTAACAAATCCAACACACAAGTGTGTTTTCAGATAGCTGGGAATGCTGCTCTAATGTCAGAGAAACTATCCTTGGGTCTATAAACCCCAGAGAAATTTCTTCATTTAAGGTATATTTCAATCAATCAGATTTGAAACAGATTTGAAGAATTCAGCTAACATGGGAATAAAAGACATCAGAAAAGGGAAATAGAAAAAAGAAAAGAGAAAAAGGAAAGCCTGCTATGTGTTATAACTACTTTAAATATGAAATATTTGTTCTTCATTGCTAATGAGAAAAATCTTAAAAAAATTACTTCCAGAAAGAAAGGTCTGAAATAACTGATGGACCTAGTTTTGGACAAATGCCACTACCAGTGACAAACACAGAACAGTTTGTGAAGGAATCTTACATCCCACCCACAGGAATAATTACAAGGTAAAGCAGGAGACAGCCTACAGTTGGCATATCAGAGTGAGAAGCTGAATTTGATCTCCTTTTTAGAAATTAAAAGGAAATGAAGACATAAAAAATCCAAGGCTGTCCAGATGTCATGGATGACTGTTCATACAGCTGTCCCAGGCAGGAGGAAAAAAAGAGTGAAAACTAAAACACAACACACCACCAAAACCAGGCAGGGACTGAAATGATAGAAATCATAACCATACCACTGTGTGACATTATTTTAGGCTCATCAAAACCTAAATTAAAGAACTGCAGACCATTTTGAGGACTTGAAAGGCTGCCTAGTTTCCAGCTACAATTGAATTCTACAGCTTCACATATAAATAATCACACTTTAGCATTTACACTGAAAAACAGGAGCCAAAAGCCATTCACTTCAGCCAGAAATAATGTAGACAGGCATCATGAAAGAAACACTCTCCTACAATACTTTCTATGTGCCAGAGCCCTGACCTTCAACATCATTTATTATTTCAGTGCTCAGCCTCTCAAGAGGAGACTGACAGTCACCTAATGGAGGGAGACTGCCCTGACCACTGCTTTTTGAAGCTATGAATAAATGAGGACAAGGAAGAGACCTGATGACTCATTTTCACCTGTAAATAAATTAGGTGTGATGGTTTATAGCCTCAAGAGGCTGGTCACTGCATGCCTGAGCCAAAAGAGAGAATTATTTTTTTTAAAACAGTGACAGAACAAATTGCAGTTTTCAAGCCACAAGTAACAGTGAATTAGGGAAACACAAGCAGTTTAAATAATTACTCTAAAGAGTTCTCATATGTTTCTATCAATCTACATAATTACACCCAACATTAAGATGGTTGCCTGTACTTAACATGAGGAGGTCAAGCATATTTTGAAGTGGTGAGGTAACAAATTTTCCTATCCCACCAGACACTCTTACCCTCTTCTGAGCTTGGACAACATGCACTTGCATTGATGGTTTTAATTTGTCTCTTACTGGGGCTTTGTCTTCTGCCTTTGTGCTTTGATTTTTATTCCTTCTATAGACTGCTCACCCTCACCATCAGTGACACACCCACACACCAGTGACAAGCACAAGTTTCTCTCACAGGGACTTACTAGTCTGTCTGTCTGTACTAAAGAAAAGCAATGTTTACTCCAAAAACCCTTTCTTTGCAGCACACAGAGCAAGATGCAGAACTGACTCAAGAGTAAAATGCCAAGCACCCAGTGAGTTTTTTTCAATCACCAGTGATGCCAGAATACGTGTGATTATGGGGGAAGATGAATTTTATTTAAGAGATAAATTCTCAGAGCTTTCATGTACTTCTAAAATAGCTCTAGTATTTTTCCACATCCACCAAATGATTTATCTACAAGAAAAAAAAGTGACTGAGACATATGCCAAGGCTGTGAAGCCAACCAAATTAGTAACAAAAAGCAAATCCAGCAATCTAAATGACAAACTGTTCCCCTGTAATAGTTTTCCATCAGCTACAGTAGTACATGAGTGATATATCAAACACATACATGCAAACATTTGCCTCAAAAGAATTAAACATACTTTTTCCTCATAGTCTCAGACTTTGCCAGGAGGAGTTGGAGGCGATGAACCTGTGAAATACAGATTCCATTAAGGAGCATTAGCAATGTCAGCTTCCACAGCACAGATTTATTCACTAGGTGAAAATCAGAACAAGACTTTGGGTAGTAGCAAAGGTAACAATGCTGTCACTGAAAATCAGGCTACTGTTATACTGGCTTTCATCTTGACAGTACACTTAGGGAGGTACAGTAGTTTCTTTATTTGGCCTTTTTAGTTAACATGCTCAACTTATTGAAGGAAAACATTTTTTCAGTACCTGCAGTTGGAGCTATGAGAACATCTATGAAAATAGGTGCAGCTAAGCTATAAGAAATCTATCTAAAATATTCCATTTATATTTGGACTCAACAACTGAACAGCTTCCCCTCCTGCATGCATTGAAGGACCTGTCAGACCTACCTCTTCATAGTAGGTTTCCATAGCTAACCTCACTTCTTCCAAATTGTTGGTCTTCATGTCTGCCTGGAATTCACTGAAAATAGAATAAAACAAAAAATAACCCAGTCAGACCAGCAAAGACATTGCAATACCTGTTGGTTCACAGTTTCTGGGTGGGTGGTTTATAACTGCTAATACATTCTTGCAGTTTATTAAAATGTCTTCAAGAATTTAAGAACACAAATGCAAAATAACATGGATCTCCAATTTTCTTTATTAGCTCATCCAATTCAAGCCTCTACCCCTTGCCCCCACAAAATCATACTTAATAGTGTTGTCTTTCTCCTTGCACTGCTGTTCAAGCTTGAGAATCTTCTGCTTTAATCCACTGACCACCTACAGAAAGAATAAAACACTCATGAATCCTCGAATAATCTGTCTCTTCACATAAGTTCTATTCCTCCATAACCTTGCCCTGCCTTTATAAATTGTACATAACAAGACATACTTGTTCCTACATACTTCAGTACTTAGTAGATCATACATATCTGCTACCCTGTGAAAAAGAGAATGAAATGATCTAATGAAAAGATCTAATGAAATCAGATCCCTAATTTGTATCTGTGGTAACATCACCAGCTTAAGAATATTTATACACAATTGTAAAATAAAAACAACTTTGCCTATTACCTTTCTATACCTTTGCCTATTCAAAGCAGCAAATAAAAGGGAGAATACTCCCTAGACAGACTCAAGACAAGGACAAAGAAAGCTCCCTAAAATAATGTTAATTCTGGATCTTTATTACTGGTTGACAAAGCACCAGTACTTTACCTGACTACAGAGATAAAGGTTACATGATTCCTTAATTGCTTATTTTTTCTCTACTTTGTTTTATTTTCAGTAGTGTTTCAACTTGGCAAGAGGAAGAAGAAAAAATGAAAGCAGAAATAATGAAGAAACCATTACCCATCCATTATCATTCTTCTTTTCTAATAAAGCTCGTGCCAGCTCAGAGCCCTGAAAAACAAGACACAGAAAGCAAGTGACCAACCCTGCTACTTTATTCTACTGCTGGCTCTTCCCACAGAATTTTCCAACCTACTCATCTCCACAGTCACTTCACAGACCAAATTCTGAAGTCCCTATGCTCATTATTCAATATTAGCACATTTATTGTAGATCTGCACACAGAAAGTGACAGCCACGAGAAATTCAGTGGGATTCAAGTCTAAGTCTAATCACAAACACTCCTCAGCCTTGTGGGTCTGACAATAAGGCTGCTCTTTTGCTTCCTGGTCAAGTCTCAGGACTGCGTGCACTGGTGACCCTGCAGGAGGTTAACTCCCTTCTACTCTCAGGTAAAATATTCAGAAAGTGGGCCCCTAAAGAGACAGCATTTTCATTGTACCATCAGCAATTATAGGTATCTTTGCTAAATGAACTTCTCTGCACTGCATGGCATAATCTTCCTTGGAACTGAGCTGAGATACACAAAACAGAAATCCCTTTGCACCAACCAGCCACCTCTCATATTCAAGCTCATCATTCCCAGGGGTCAACATGCAACAGACTTGCACTCTTCTGTCCCACTTCTATTCCCCCAAGAAATAGTCACCCTGGAAGGATCCAACAGTTGTTCAATCTGTTTATCCTTCCTACTGTTCTCCTGTTCCAGTCGACGGAGCTTCGTTTTCATTCGATCTCCCTCATTTTTCTGAGCTTGTATTGTCTAAGAGAGGGGAGAAAAATTGAAAGCACATTTCACATTTCAGAAATAGGAACACACATTTCGATGTCAGTAACAATCCAATGACGATGGTGACAGTGAAGCAAAAGAGAAAACAAACAACAACAATGAAAAAATACCATCCCACTGGAGCAGGGCTGACAGCTCAGGGAGGTGACAGTCCTCACCTTTCATACACTGCACTCACCTCAACAGACAAATTGCTAAAGTGTGATCAGTAAATGGGTAATGGACAGGAAGGTGAGGGGGAAAAAAAAGGAGGTGGGGGCAAAGAAACCAAAGGCCATGAAACTTTTTAGCATCCAGCTAGGGCCATGGTTGGGGCTCAGCACTGGCTACACTTCAAGGCTTCCACATGCAGCACTCAGAAGCATCTATCACACCATGAGAACAATGAAACTGCCTCAGTCTGACACAAATTTTAGTTAAGCCTTACATTACAAATGCAAAAAATGTGGTGGATGTCCCAGTTGTAGAAACCAAAGTATTCTGGAGCAGTAAGGCCTGGGCACCTTCAGGTGGATGGAGCAAGACTGTGAATTTTTCTGTGAGTATCAGAGAGACTGTACCTTCTTCAGTTCTATAATTTCATCATACATATCTTCTTTTTCTTTGTAGTCAGGAGTTCCAGGAATGTAGCCTACAGAAAGGGGTATGTAAAATAAGTAGATCCAAAAGAGGTATTTTTAACTCATCAGGAACCTTACAGCTAAAGAAAAATATCTAGAACAGCACCAAACTGGAAACTAGGCTTTTTTTTTTCTAGAAGAAGAAAAATCAGCAAGGAAATTAATTTCAGAAATGGAGGTGAAATGGAAGTGTAGCTATATGAAACTTCTGCCAGATTTTACAGCCAATTTCTCCTAATTACTTCTCTCTGGTGCTATATTAAAATATTCATCTCAAGAAAGACACAAACTCCACAGAAGACTGAAGTCTTCTCATCCCAACAAATCTATTATCTACAAAAGTTTTCTACAAGGTGTCCAGAATCCACTTTTCTCTGTATGCTTAACATGTGATAATCTATCAACTTCAAAAGTTGCCAGAAACTGTGTATTACCAGTAAAAGTATAGGTGTCATTTTAAATGGAAGTGGAATTTTTAAGTTCACAGTTCTGCTTTGAGAAAACCAGCATTAAAGTTTGCTCTTCTCATAAAACTCATTTGATCTTAACGTCACAACCACACGATAAAACACTTTCTAGAGAAGAAGTGAAAGGAGTCAATTACACAGAATTTCAGGCAAGCAGATGGTTTCTATCAATGGTTCCTAAACTATGTTTTGCAAAGTCACAATAAATTGTCTACAGCTGTCCCATTGAACCATATTATACTTGCAACATTTTCAGCTGCAAATGCATGGCAATTTGCAGAAGTTCTGAAAGCTAACAGTGATTCATTGCTCAAAAAAAAAAAAAAAATTGGAAACCCCTGCCCTAACCAATTTAGAAATTTCAAAAAGTATCCCAGGGATCATATTTTGACACATATATTTTAACCAACTGAAATGGCTCTTGCTTTATTGAAGTGAAGATCTTAAGCAATGTGTGTTTTCACAGAGGAAAAATATCATTAGCTTTTATCCACCACACCACTGCAGACTTTACCATTACTAGAAGAACGAGAATGTTTTGGCTTCTTCATTCCTAGAGCTTCCTTCAAATATTCTGGAGTGCTACTGGAAATGTTGGTTCGCATATGCCCCATGTCAACATCTGATTTCAGAGGATGGCTCATTCCTGCCAACAAAAATGGAACAAAAATGCAAAAATCAGGGCTAATTGTGAATTAAATGTGTGGATTTATTCTGAGCAAATGCAACATAGAAAGCTCCAGATGCTGTTAATTTTTCCCTCTATAAATTCCAGTGCTCAAGATCAGATAATTTCAACCTCCCAAATAAATAATAGTGAAATGACTTCCTATGCAAACTTTAATCAAATACAACTCTATTTTTTAAGAGTTTATACATTAAGCTGTCCACAACACCCAATTTTATCCACATATGCAGATCTAATTTCCATACTATTACCTTGTTTCAGTGATTCCAGCCACAGCTGCCTTGGCTTTTTTACAGCTGCACTCTCTGAACATGCACTGCCTGTTCCCTGCAGAGATCGCCAAGCTGCAGCTTTTTTGGGATACAGTTGTGTGCTAGAGCTGTAGGGAGACTCTAGAGCAAAAGAAAACATCTCAGTGTTGCCTTAAGGTCACAGAAATTCTTGTTGTCTTGTGCTTCAAAGTTCTCAAGACACAGTCCTAATACTGATAAAATTAGAATTAACAGTGTACTACATCCTGGCTTGTACAGAGTAACAGGACACTTACCTAAAAAAAACCACCTAAAACCACTGTATTGAAGAAATAGAATTCCAAAAAACGAAGAGGCTTAAAAAGAGGCATAGTGACAGTAGTATGATTCAACAGATGGAAATATTTACATGTACAGTTTGGATAGGCAACCTTAAGATACCTGCACATCTAAATTAATGTTGTTAATAACACTCTAAGGTAAAGTCTTCTTTGAAACATTCACTGGAAGCCTAAAAAACCAGTTAAATGGAAAAGTATAGCAAGAAACAAACTCCAGAAAAGAAAAGACAAGGACAAACCCCATATTAAAAGTGCAGATCTAATAATAACATTGCACTTCTAAGGTTATGTGAATAAAAACCCCCACCAACAAACCCAACAAATGAAACAGAGGACTGCTAAATCCACACACATATCTACTGGGTGGTAGGGAGCTCCAGTAATTCTACATTGCAAGTATCAGCATTTCTCCAAAACTACAATAAGAAATTCAGAATATTTGCCAATAGAATGAATAACATGATAAAAAAGTCGCTTATGCTGGAGAATCAAGAACTACAGCTATTCCATAAACTTCAATATTTAGCCTATACAAATCAAACTTGACAGGTTTCAGAACAAATCTCAAATAGGTGTGCTCTGCACACAGCAGTGAATAATTCTAAAGAGAAGAACAAGATGTTGTCTCAAATAAATACTTCAGTTCCTGTGAAGAGCAGAAGACAAAATTTTGCAACACTTACTTGGTGACTTGGGAGGCTTGTGAAAAATCTTCTTCTTTAACTTCTGAAAGAGAAACACGTTTTTATGACTGAAAATATTCAACTCTTAAGATTTCCGCATATAATCTCAAAATTGGCTCCACTGTCTGTGCATGTCTTGTATTCTAATAAGACAAAACCTTGTCCATAGAAAAGAAAAACAGAAGCACTAAGTATATGCAGATTTGGCCACATCAATGGTCCCCATGAAGGTGGTGCCCACTGAAGTTTGATGCCACAGATAAACAGCTGATATGAAAACTCACCATTTCTGTGTCTGACTCACAGGTTATCACAGACAGGCTATCATCTCCCTGGGAAAGACACAGGAACTGTGACATCTGCTGCTAAACAACTGGTTATAATACACATCCAGAAAACTTCACATCATTTACTATCACAACAAAGTGAGAGTGCAATAAATTCAAACAGTAAATGTTGTCACCAGATCCTCTGTTCCTCTTCTATTTCATTGCTCAAATGTCAAATGGATGAGATAGGAGTTTTCAATTCTTTCTGATAAAAATAAGCCATTTGTCAAAACCACTTAAGTTGCTGGGAGATGGTTGTTGCAAATCCCAGCATCACTTGCTGTAACACAAATGGTCTTGTGATGTTGTGCAAGTCACTTCAGTCATGAACCATCGCAGAATGATTTGGGTCGGAAAGGACCTTAAATATCATCAAATTCCAGCTCCCCTGTCATGGGTAGGGACACCTTCCACCCGAGTCACAGGGACTTGTGCACTGCAGTGCACAACTGAACCTTCAGCTGGTTCTGCCTGAATTTCTCCACCAGTTAAGCTGCAACTCATTCACCTGTTCCCTTCCCCACTCATTTGTCATGCTGTGGGATGGTTCAGTTCCCATATTCAACTGGAGAAGTGATCAGGCTGAGGGAAAAAAAACTCAAACCAAAGAAAATGACAAGTTTCCCTGCTTCTCAAATGTAACCATATCCAGAGAAGAATGGAAATTTCCACTTTGCTTTCAAGTTATCTGGATGCATTCTGCCCTCACAAAGACCTTTTCCACTTGCTGCTGACTCCATGGCACTCACAGCACCATTCTTTGGACAGACACTGATCTGTGTCTGCCAGAGGCAGGGGAGGGGGTGAAGTGTTTTTGAGAACCCTGGTTGGCAGAACAGGAGCAAGGACTGACCACAGAGCAGGTAAAACAACTTTCTGTGCTGGCTGAGAGGAGGCAGGTCTGTATCTCACACACCATGCCACGCAGTTTTTAATTTCCTGAGGTGGTGCTCCTTGCAGCACAGTGATTATTTTTGTTATTTTAAGGTATCTCAGTCTGAAATATCTCTCTCCCCAAGTGCAGCTATCACACTTGGAATCAGAGAATGTGAAAGGCGCTCAGCCCTGATAAATGGTAAATAACAAAACATTAATCAGGACACAAACATGCAATAACAAACCCATCTCTGTCCTTGGAAACCTTCACAGCCTCTTTGCTCCTACAGAACTGGCCCAACCAGAGCCACCCGTGACAGGAGAACATGGGGGCTCCCAAAGGGGCTAAAAATCTCCACCTGCTGCTGAAGGGGTGGGAAACGAACACCAACACAGAATCACGGGATCAGCTGGGTTGGAAAAGACCTCTGAGATCACCGAGTCCAACCTGTGACCGAACACCACGCTGTGAACCAGACCATGGCACTCAGCACCACGTCCAGTCTTTCCTTAAACACCTCCAGGGACGGTGACTCCACCACCTCCCTGGGCAGCCCATTCAAATGTCTAATCACCCTTTCTGAGAAGAAATTCTTCCTAATGTGGAACCTAAACCTGCCCCGGCACAGTTTTAGACGACGCCACCTGCACGCCGTGCCATGGACCGGCCAGGGAGACAGAGGTTGGACCCAAGAGTCCTGCGGGCTGGACACGGACCAAGTCATCCCACTCCCACGTACTGAGGGGGCTTTGTCCCGGCCCCGAGGGAGTGCTTCGCGGGCCGGGCCCGGGCTGAGGCAGGCCTAGACCCGGGGCCTCCTCCTCCTCCTCCTCCCCGCCTCTCACTCCTTACCAGTTCCCCCTCCGCTGCCGCCTCGCCAGCCCCGCGGGCCATGTTGGGAGGGCGGCGGGGAGGCCTCACGGGGCGGCGGGGCCGCAGGGGCCCCTTCGGGCCGTGTCGGGGCTGGGGGCGGCCATGGCCCCGCGGCGGCACTTCCGGGTCGCGGTAACCATGGCAACCGCCGCGCAACGGGGCGAACGAGCGCCCCCCTGCGGCCCGGGGTGGCAGCGCATGCGCAGAACCTCGGCGCGCCTGAGGGCAGAGCCGGGCAGGGTTCGGTCTGTGCGCAGAGCGCGAGTGACACCAAGCGGCGCCGCGGGGCGGGAACGCCGGCGGGCGGCGGGACAGCCCCTGCCAGGGCTCCGCTCCGCCAGCGCGCCGGGAGCTCCTGCGCGGGAGCAGCGGGACAACCGCGGGCAGAACGCGCCCCTATCCCGCACCCACTGCCCGCCCGCGGGGCGCGCGGAGCCCACGCCCCTCGCCGGGGCTCGGCCACGCCCCCCCGACAGAGCATTGGCCACGCCCCCTTTGCGACACTCGCGGTGCGGCCGCGCCGGGGCCGGTCCCGGTGGTGGTCCCTGTTCCTGTCCCGGTGGTGGTCCCTGTCCCTGTCCCTGTCCCGGTGCCCCCCGGCCATGTCCGGCCCTCAGTCCTGGTTCGTGGCCCGGGCCCGCCGCCGCTTCGCCATGACCCGCGAGTGCGCCGTCCTGCTGCCCGGCGTGTGCGCCGCCCTGGCCGACCCGCGGCAGCCCGGCCTCGACGACACTTGCCTGGAGAAGCTGCTGGACTGGTTCCGCAGCCTGACGTGGTTCGGTGAGCGCCGGGGGCCGGGCCGAGGGGGGGAGGGCGGCAGGTCAGCACCATAGGGGAAGGTCCATCACGGAACGGTTTGGGTTGGAAGGGAACTCTGGGGATCCTCCAGTCCAGCACCCTGCCAAGGCAGGGCCAACCCAGAGCAGGTGACACGGGAACGCGTCCAGGTGGGATTTGAATGTCTGCAGAGAGGAAGACTCCACGACCCTCTGGAGGTGTTGTCCCCTCGGAGACACCTGAAAACGCTGTTTAGTAGCTGAGGCTACACCTGGGCTTGGACCCAAATTCCTCAGTTCTATGAGTTGTCAGGGGTTACCTCAGCTCAGGGAATCACCTCAGTGGGAGAGGACAGTCCTGGCAGTGACCTGCTGTTCTCTGGCACCACTAGACCCGACTGTGGAGCTGGTGCAGGACAACCCGTGTCTGACAGAGCTCATCAGCTCTGTGCTGGCCCTGCCCGAGCCCAGCCCCAGCATCCTGTCCTTCACCCTGCAGTTGGCTGGGATACTCGCTGCCTCCGAAAACCGCTTCCAGCACCTGCAGGTGAGTCAGCTACCTGGGATTATGGGATAACTCTGCCTCCGGGCAGTCACCGCACAACACTGAATCCCTGGACTGATCCTGTAGATTTAAACTGCACTAACATGTCATTTTCCCTCTATAGTAGGTTGACAGGAAGTTTCTGATTCCCTGCAAAAACGAGAGAGATTTATAAAGCCCTACTTTCTACGCTAAAATACATTTATAGTACAAAACCTGAAAGGCTTCATTCAGGGAAGAGATGTGTACAAGTGCACAGAGCAGTCTAATGGAACTGATAAGTTCCATTCAAGTTCCATTCCATATAAGTTGATGTATACCAACTCATGATATACAGAAGTTGTCTCTAGCACCTGAAAAACAAGCAGTTTTGGTGCTGAACAGCTCTGTTGCTTAGTCCCTGAGAGAGCCATACATTGAGTTTAAACCTGGCATTCTGGAGTTTTTCTGTTTTCGTGGTACTTCTAGCAAGAGAATCTTTCGCTACACTATCGATACTCTTGACTTGGAGGACAGAGCAGCCTCTCCCCTCCCCTTTAGCCCCTCTGCTCACCGTTTCCTCTGTGTTCTGCTCTGGCCTCAGCAGGAGAAGCTGCTGGGGAGGCTCTTTGGCCAGGATGGGCCCCGGGGCCGTGCGGTGTGGGAGGACGCGTCGGTGCGCAGCGGTTGGGTCAAGGGAGTGCACAGCATGGTGCACCACCAGCCTGCCCTGCACTTCCTCTGCAGCGGGGGTGAGTACTGCCAGCTCTGCTAACTCACTCCCCAAACCCTCTGTGTCCCTTCCATTCCAGTCAGGTGTTTGCTCAGATGTCGAATTCCAGTTGCTCACATGTCAGTTGAGCAAGACGAGTCTTCATTTATTTAAGAGTTAAGATAAGCCATTTGTCAAAAGCATCAAGGTCACTGAGGATCTGCAAACAGTTTTCTTCTTTTGTTTGCTTATTGTTAAGGACTGGCTGACTTTGAGTAGAGGCTCCAAAATAAAGGATAAGAAACTCCACCACCACCATTTAAAGCTGTGTGGTACCTGAGTTAGAGTCACACGTGGTTGGAGTTCAACAAGGTTCCACCTCACCATAGGAACGCTGTTGTTTTTTCCTCCAGTGACTTGTTCTGTTTTCCCACAGGAGGCATGGATGTGATCTTCGCTCTGCAAGGGGATCCCAGCCTCTTTGTGGCTTCAGCTGCCAGTCAGCTCCTGGTGCACATGCTCACCTTCTCTGTAGAGTCTGAAACATCTAAACCTCTCAGCCCAAAGGACTGTGAGTGGCCAGCGTGTGCCCAGATGATTAAAAAGCACGTGGAGGATTCCCTTCAGTCTGGCTCTGCCTCTCACATCGAGCAGTCACTAAAGCTGTTAACCAGCTTGTTTGGCAGTTGTTATGCTGCATGGACTGAAGTGCTTTGGTCAGACATAGCAAAGCAAATAGAATCCTTTCTGATAGAAGAGACTGTTCAAGCACAGCACATGCTGGCAAACCTTTTGCTTAACGTGGCACGGTAAGGATCTGGCACCTTGGATCCCATGGTCATATATATCTGTTTTCCACTGTGTAATAGGATATATAACTTACACTTCTTTCTTCTCAGGTCCCCTGTGTTTTGTGACACTGAAGGCAGTTTTTGGGCGTTAGTAACTTCTGCTCTGGAACACTTAACCCCAGTACAAGCATGTCCTTTGGCAGTGGGACTTCTGAAGCTCTGCAAATGGTAGGACTTACTGCAATTAAATTTTTGCACTCTGCAGATGTTTCTGTACTAAGATCTCTGGTGTCTTTCCAGGAACTGCTTTTGTCCTCACTGCATTTTCTGTTACATTCTTTAATATGTGAGACTGGTTGGCAAGAGTCATGCCAGTAACTAACAGGCTTCAGACTGTACTGATAGTAAGGATAATATAGTTTCAAAGAGAGAGAGATTACAGGAGCCAGTATGTGTATACTCTTGCATCTTACCTACAGCCAGCCAATTCCAGGAAGAAATAGCAAACTCCAGTAACTATATTGCCAAGGTCGACTGAGATGAACACAGTTTGGCTGCCTGTCAAATCCAGTAGTCTGTTCCATTTTCCCTTTCACAAAAACCCTGGCTGGTGTAAGAGCTTTCACTCTGTCCAGCAGAAGGAGGGATCTGGAGACTCTGGAGACAGTTGTAGAATAACTGAAGTTAGAAAGAACCTGGAGAAGTGATCTAGTTTAACCTCTTGCTCAGTGCAGGGTTCACTTCAAAGACAGGTCAGGTTGCTCAGGGCCTTCACCCTTCAAACTTCAAATATCCCCAAGGATGAGGATTCCACAGCTTCTCTGGGCAACGTGTTCCAGTTTCACTTCACTATGAAGAGTATTTTCTGTGTACCCAGTTGGAATCACCTTGTTGCAATCTAAGATTCACATCTTCTGCACCTCTGAGAAGTCTGCCTGCACCTGCTCCATAACTCCCCTTTAGGTGGTGAAAAAGTATCAAGAAATCATCAGATGAATACAGCATATACAGATTCTGGTTTACAGGCTAAGTAACACTTATGTTTTAAGATAGAAGGACACCATTTTGTTGACAAGAAACACTTCCCTCTCAGCCTCCTTCTTACACAGGATCCCACTCTCTATTTGCATAACTTGATAAAGCTTCTTCTAAATTCCAGAGCCATTTCTCCTCTGCTTTCAGTTAGCAGGGGAAGCTTGGAAGAAGGCTCAAATTGTGGTACTGCTTCTGTTATTCTGTCATTGCTGGCTTGGTTAAAAGCCTGCATAAAAATCATTATCCTGTTCAGAATTTGGGGGCAGACGTTTGGGAAGGAATTGAAGTGTTCTCGTTTTGGTAACTGCTGTTTCCTCCTTGAAGCCCACAAGATGTGAGGATTCAGGCACTGACTGTTCTACTTCAGCCAATGGACTGTATTTTGAGAGCAGCCTCCCAGCCTCTGGAATATGCAGGTACAGTTGTGATAGAAAAGTTAGAGGCCAATCTGCTTGCCAGTGTTTCAAGGGTCTGGTGCAGGCAAAACTGGAGGTGAAAGAGTAGAACAAGTCAAGGACAGTAGCAGTGTTTGTGATAAAGTGCAGCATCCTACTGACAGTTGCATTTGAAGGGATATTCATACTACATCACTGAATATCTTGATTAACTTTGAAAATCACAGTCTTTTCTACTCAATAACAACTAGAGCTCTTCCCTTCTCTGGTCCTCTAGGTTTGCTGGATGAGTCTGTTAGTGATCCTGTCACTGTTGAAAGTCTTCTGTCCTCCAAGACATCTTGTGCTGGTCTCCTGTGTCAGACCTTGGCTCACCTGGAGAAGCTGCTGTCTTTGGTAACATTCAGAGAGTGGCAAAAAGCCTGGGGATCAAATTGGTCCTTGAAAGACAGTGTTAAGATTGGTTGCAAATTTTTGCAGTAGAGCTTAAAAGAACATGGAAAGGAGTTGACAGTGAGGGCTTCCGTAGGTTAAAGAAATCAGCAAATATTAGCAAAAACCTTTCAAATATGAAAACAGAACAATGCTGAGGCTTGTAAAGAAGGACTGCACATAAATTCTAAATCCATCTTCACAAGCTTTGTTACCATACCTCCTGCTGCAATTACTGATGCAGTGAAAAAAAACAAAGATAATTTTTTTGTACTTCTTAACATTGTGCTACCTTAAGAACCCTCTAGAAATTGCAGATTTCACTCCTTCCTGACCAAAAACTCTCTGTACACACTTGGAAATTTTGCAGGAAACTCTTTACTTTTCTTTTTTTTTTTTTTTCTTTCTCACCCATTAGAAACATTTAAGAGTGGATT